TCGTCATGCACCCTGCAGTCCATTCAACCTATGGCTTCCCCAAGTCCTTCTCTGAGTGTGAATACGCCCTTTTGTGAGCCAATTGGCGGAACGGGCGGGCGGTACCGCATCACCGACCACCGCGCTCCACTCGAGTTCTGATAAGGAAATGGAATGAAAGCGAAAATTTGGGACTCGTTCAATATTGACCTTATTCCTTGGCTTTGAATATTTCCATGACAGTGCTGCCATTTCCTGGAATTAATTCCGAAATTCGCTCTGAAAAAAAAAATCTCTGTGTATTTACTAAAGAAAAGGGTAAAATTACCAAGAATTCAGGGTTCTATTTGATCCCAGTTTTTTTCTCGGTAAAATTTCCATTTATGGAATTTGTAATTTCACCGAGAAATCCCGGTAAAATTATTGAAATTTCTCGGTAATTTTACTGGACCTTGGTAAAAACGCCAATATTTTTTATCGACTGTGGTAGAATTACCGAGATAAAATGGCAAAGTTACCGGGAATTGATTACCAATAAAAGTGGTATTCTTACCTGAAAAAAAACCAGTAAAAATACAGGTTTTTAGGTAAGCTTATCATTCTATCTTTGTAACATTACCAATAATTGGTAAAATAAGTGAGATGGTAAAGGTACCAATAGATCTTGGTAAAAACGCCGAAAATTTTTTTCAGTGCGGAACTTTTTAAATATTCGGACATTTTCCCGGAATCCTCTGAATCCCCAGAATTTTCAGCTGTATTTGGGATTTCCTCAAAATTTGTAGTTTTTCGCTAGTTTGACCATTTATTTGATCAAAGACGATCTTCGGAGCTAAATCCGGAAATATGAAAAAACCCGGTATTCGTATGTGAAACTCCGGCCGGAAAGTTACACCATTTCTCCCCCGAGAAACTAATGGTACTTACGTTATTTCTCAAGTAGACCAGAAATTGCAATTCCCAATTGCAAAATGTACTCCCAATTTGGTAAGGTTCACTTACACGATCAAATTGAGCCATCAAACTGAAGCTCTGATTGGTGGATAAAGACCTGAAGTGAGGATGCGACCAATGAGAAGCCCAATTTGATGGCTCAATTTGATCGTGTAACTGGGACTTGTAGATCAATCGATTCACCACGCCACCGACGCATGAACTTAGAATAAAATTAGTTTGAAGACATTTTTGTCGTTTTTGACCTTTAAGATTGAAGACAATTTTTAGGACTCCAGGAATTAATCAGCCGCAGGAGGTATTAAGACACTCTGCAAATTTTAACGTAAACGTGAACATGAGGAATTTTAAGGTCATCGTTGAATTAGTGACAGGAGACCCTATAGAGGTGCCCCTAGTTTATTCCTTTTGCTCGCAATATATTGCTCTTCTCCTCTCGACTTAATATTTTACTCCAAATCATTGTTGTCAGCTTGCGCTGAAAAATCAGCACTATTCCCTATTTAAACCAATTTTAAATATCACAATTTAATGGCACAATTTGGCAAATTTACTCCAGACACACCGTAAATCCATAAACGACGCAACGGTCAGAAGAGATAGTTATCCCATCCGCTTTCCGACATTTTTGTACAATGGCGGCTGCGCGCTGCTTCGCCAATGAAAAACGCCGTACGAGTATTCCAAAGGTGCTAAATTTCCTCAGTATAATGTTTATTTTTAATGTTTATTGTGTTACTTATGAGTATTTCCTCTTGAAATTTTCAAATATCTCAGATCTGAACTTGAATGAAATCATCTGAAAAGTTGGCGGACAAATTTGGTGTGCTAAAGAAGAACGCCGTATGAGCCTTCAGGTGTTGCCAAATTTCCTTTGATAAATCACAAATTTTAGGGAATATTTATAAACATTTTTCGTTAAATTTTTCAGGGAATTTCCTTCGTAATTTGATCTAAATAGTCCAGAAATTTCAAGGAAAAATATTGATAACTTTTCTCAAAAATGAACATTTTATTGGAGGCAATTTGGCAACTCTCGAATGTTCATACGGCGTTTTTCCTTAGCACGGCAGAAATATTCATTGATTTTTCTGCAAATCAGTATTTTATCAAAGGAAATTCGACAACGTTTGGAAAATCATACGGCGTTCTTTCTCATAGTGCAGCAGTACGGTACGGTCGGGAATTTCAAGGTTACAATGCGCCTGGGAACTAATAAACTGGAAGAATCCATGCTTGTCACTCTTCGGCCGCTCTCATTTGACTCTAATTTGTTTTTTGTTTACTGCAAGCTGCATTTTTACATTAGCAATTCATATTATCATCGCGATTTTAATCCATGGCATCGAGTTAATTTGCTTTTTCGTTGTTTCCACCCCCTCTAAAAAAAATTGACCTTTAGAGACTTGCAGTTATGTGCCATAAAGGATGACCAGCCCTCGTGGCAGTTGAGTGGGACGTATTTCTGCCAAACGGAACTATGTGCATTAAGACATGAGCCCTGAGACCCATAAGAATATATGCATAACAGGGCTCACATTATAATACACATCCGTTATAGGCAGAAATACGTCCAGTTGACACTCGGATTCTTGAGTATAGGCACACTACTCACTTATTCGAATGCAAAGGCAATTGGCAACACTGTTTTCTCCCTATTTAAACCTATGGAAATGTATCGATTTTTAGAGGGCCTTGGTATTCCAAGAAGAATCGATTATTAAACACAGCTTTTAATGGAGGAAAGCCAGTGTTACCAACTCGCTGGATCCGCCAAAAATTCAAGTGTGCTTGGCACTCCTGGGCTCACTTGAGCATAGTAAAATTCAGAATCTTAAACTTAAAAATTAATTTCAAGGAAAAGAATTCTACATTAAATTATAAGAATGCATAGTTAAGGTTAAATACACAGGGGCGGATCCAGCAATTCGGCAACACCGGATTTCCTCCATTTAAACCTATGCTGAAAAATCGATTCCTGTCGGAGCACTTGGCCCCTCCAAGAATCGATACATTTCCATAGGTTTAAATGGAGACAAGACAGTGTTGCCAATTTGCTGGATCCGCCAATGTAAATACATGCACTAGACTCATATTTTCCCACATCGGGTACATGGTGATCCTTTTCCTTAACATGTCAAAACAGAAAAAGTCAAGAGGGCCGTATTCTTCATCCGGAGGCGAAACGCTTCCTACCTGTATACAATATACCAATTTCTGTTTGTCCTCCATTTAAATCCTTTAAAAATATCGATGTATGGGGGAGGCAAGCTGCCTCACCAAGAATCGATTGTTTAGCATAGATTTAATGGGAAGGAAAACATTGTTGCCAACATTCTAAAATTGACTACTCACGCGCCCACCTTTTCTTCAACGTCCACCTACCTACCCGTTGCAATAGTCACCACGTTCAATTATTCAAGTGACAGGGCGCATGCATTCTTTACCCATCCCTCTCGTTCCTTTACAGTTCCCTGTCATCAGCGATGGGTGCCTTGCCTCGCTTTGCAATGAATCGATTAGAAGGGTAAACCTTAATTATCGATTCTTTAGCATAGCTTCAAAGTAGTCGATAGCAGTGGCGTAGCGTGATTGATCGATTATCGATATCTCGCCATTTGAAGCTATCGTTAAGGATCGATTACTAAGGTGTTCGCTGCGAATACCCTAATAATCGATCTTTTTTCATAGGTTTGAGTGGCGTATCAATCGATATATCGCAAGGCACGCCGCGATCGATAATTTGAACCTCCTGTTTGCAACCTTTATCTTGCCCAACCGCGTGGGAGAGGTAACCTCGAAAAGTTGCCACTCAAGTCAGTTGGGAAGCTCTTTTGCGATTTATCGATTGATCTGCCATTTAAACCTATGGAAAAAGATCGATGAACAGGGTGTTCGCAACGAACACATTAATAACACCGCACAACAAATCGAGTTTTGGTTTGTCCTTCGAACCAAATCAATTTTTTCGATTTCTCGGTGATGTATCAGTCCGAAAATACCCATAATAACTCCAGGAGCATTTTCTGGTGCTCAGGGCGCCGCCATTTTGAATTTTTCAAAATTGAGAAATCCAACGATCAGTTTTTTGGATATATCTCCTCAACGGTTAATTTTTCGACAAAAACAAGGAAAAAACCAGTAGAAAGAGCATAAGATTTCCCACCGAAGTCGCTCTCCTCTTTTTTCTTAGCTTAATTTTTGGTCGTAAAATTAACGTTTTCTTAAAGAATTAGCTTTAAAAAGGCGCATTTTTTGCTGATTTTTGAAGAAATTTTGGTTCATATCTCCAGCTACGATTATCTGAGAAAAAAATTGTTAAGCTCATTGAAAAGAGCGTAAAATTTACTTTAGAAAACATATGTCAAAAGTATCAAATAGCAGATCAGTCTGTGTATCGCAAAATCCGCCACACCAATGTCGCGGAGACTTTAACGCCATACAAAGAAAATAGACGATATTTATTTTGACTTCAATCTCGTTCTGCCGCTCTAAAATTGGCTGTTGACCAGTGAATTTTGCCTGCGCACTTAGAGATTTTCCGATATTACCTTGAAATGTGAAATAATACTTTGTCGATGAAAAGTCGGACAATTTTGGTATTTTGTAGTCAGAGGGATTTTTAGTTGAAGTAAGAAAAGTGCGCCGTGTAATCGTGCGGCTTAAATATTATCAATTTTTGTTTTCAGCTAAGGAATTTTGATGCTCATGTTCAGAAATTTTTCGATGCAGCCTGCAAAAAGTAGGAAAATTTATGAGAACGTCTTCCAACATGTTCTCGTCGAGGCGTATACAAATTGGCAATATGGTTTTTCTCCATTTAAACCTATTGAAATGTATCGATTCTTGGAGGGACCAGGTGCTCGGACAAGAATCGATTATTGAACATAGGATTAAACGGAGGGAATTCAGCGTTGCCAAATTGCTGGATCTGCCTCGGGCGTATAAAAAAATCAGGAAAATTAAAATAACTATGAAATATTACTGAATCAGCATTTGTAAATGTCTTTTATTTTTAAAAATAAATCAATGTGATGTCAATTCTTATAGATTTTCTTGTGTTGCAGGTAAATTTTTCTGGAAAAATTTTGCGAAAGTATTACGGATCTAAAGCTCTCCTTCTGTAAGTTATTTCAAACTGATAATTCTGATCAAACAAATTTTAGAATGTGCTTCAATTCCTGGTTATGCTCTGCTGTGAATGTATACATGTGACGATTTTCAGTTAGAAATTTCCAAGATTTTCCTGATGACAATGCAATTTACCAGGGGAATTTTGGCAATATTGAAACGTAGCTACGTTATTTCGTGAGAGAGATGACGAATTGAAGCGAACATGGTTTTTCTTGCGAATTTTGATATGTACGTGGTTATGGGAACATCCAGGGTTGCACTCGTGAAATCAGTGGCGTGGCGTCCATAGGTTCGCAGTGTTCGCCGAACACCCTAAAATATTTTGAAACAATTAATAAATTATGGCCAAGAATGTGGGAAGCAATACAGAATACAGAATAGTAGATCGAAAATAAGTATCGGGCGCTTGGCTTCCGACATCGGCATGTGGCGCGGCGGAGAGAGAAAATCCTGTGACGCGTGGTCCGCACCGGGTACCGAACAAGACCAATCCACACAGGTCAGTCATTGCGCATCTTTTTGAAAGCCACTTCCCCGCCCGGCCCTAACTCGGCTGCACTCAATAGTACGTCACAATGGGTGCTCCCATAAGAAATACATTGCAAGCACTCAATAGTACGTCACTGCGCAGTAGAGTACCAAAACTCGTCCACGGGAATGACTGACCTGTGTGGATTGGTCTTGGTACCGAACCTGGATGATCTGCGTACGGTGAGGAGAGAGAACCTGGGTGCAATGATGAAGGGGCAAAGGGTACACGAGAGAGGAGATGCACCGGCGCGCGGCGCAGAGCGGAGCGTGAGCATTGGGTTCGGAGCCGAGTGCGGACCGCGCTCGCGGAGGGAATACAGCAAAGAGAAAAGGGAGGGGAAAAGCACGAGAGAGGAGAGCCGCTCATCAGTCCAGCTGTTTCCTATAGCAGTGGTCCGCAGGGGTTTGCGAACCGCCGAATTTCCTCTATACCGCGATTCGCCCTCCGCTTCCCCCCCTGCGCCTGCGGGCCGCATCTCCCAGTTTCCCAGTCTCCCTCTCCCAGCTCTCTCTGCAGGTACGTGTTGCGAAAATACGTTATCATTTAACAAAATAAATTACAGGAAAACGATCGGTAAAAAGAACAAAATTTCAATGACAATTTACCGGCACAATTTTCACCAGAAAGGGTTAAAATCGTGTTCTTGCGGCTTCATTTTTTAAAAAGTTTCCGGGGGAGGCCCCCCGA